AAGAGAATATTGCTCAGTGAGTTGCTTTGCATGGCAAGATTGAAAGAGGAAAGAGAACATCGCTGAGTGAGTTGCTTTGCGTAGGACAGTTGAGTGATAAAAGGAAACTTCGCTGAGTGAGTTGCGTTGCACAATTAAGAGTGGAAAGAGAAATTTTAATAAAAAAGGGAAAACAGTAACTAAATCAACAAAACGCACAAAGTGCTGCATATTTATGTGTTTTTCAACACGCACACCAGCAAGTGGTCTACGGACCCCAAGTCAAGCAGCCAATAAAGTAAGACCAGTCTTAGGTCCTTGGGTGTGATCAAGTTTCGCTCAATGGAGTATTCCCAAACCAGGAAAATGGCAACCAAATATACACAATCGAAAGGGCATCCCTGCCAGCACTGTACTTGTTATTGCACAAAAGAGCAGGCCCTTAACTTTTTTCCCCTTGAGCTGTTGCTGGCAAAGTGCTTACGCCTTTGCCGTGGCGTACGGTTTTCAATTGACCAGATCAGTCTATCCCCGTAACCCCTGAGAAGTTTTTCAGCAACACATCCGTTTCATGAATGTAGGACAACCTCTGCTAACAATGTAACACAGTCCTGCCAAAGTAGGGTCTGCTTTTCCAAGTATGCCTTGGCCTGTCAGGTGAACTTCGAGCTCGAACAATCTTGAACCAGAGCAAAAATGTGACCTCCGAATCAAGACATTTTGCACTGAGTCGTAAAGAATGTTATGACATGGTGTGCTATGGCAGTTTTTACCAACTTCATCAGGTTTCTTATCTTCAACACAAGTTCAATGTGCATGCTCGATAATTTTAACCTAAAATCCCAGTGAACTCCGAAGCATGCACATCGTCACTTGCCACATCCGAGCCCAACTCCAAATAAATTTTTTTAACTGAAAGAATTTAATAAATAATTGGAAACTAAAAACTTATAAAAAGCACACTTTTCTGTTTGTTTTTTCCACCACCCTTTAGCCTGAGCTGGCAATGCATTCTGGTAAATAAACCAGCTTGAATCCGGAGTTCTCCACCAGGTAGTCCATCAGGAACACCGAGTTCATGTAGGTGTCTGGGAGGTCCGTGTCCAGGCTCAGGATGCCCCCCTTGGTCTTGGCCAGCTCCTCGTGGATCTTGCGCAGGGCTTTCGGCACCCGCTCCACGTCCCGGTACTTGTAGTAGCTGTCAAAGGTCAGCACGCCTGACCCTGTTTTGCAGCAAAAATATTACAGACAAATGGGTCTCTCTCTAATGATGTCCCTTCCTACGGATTGCCCCACGCATCTGCAGTTTGGACACCAAAATTTCCTGACACACATCAGCTGCGCTGTATTGTGAAGATACACGTATTTGTATCAACGAGCATGCGTGTATAGAACACTGCTGCGTACACAAGCAAGTTGTTTTGGAAAAAGGCAATTTTTCATTGCCTATAATTCTCATTATTTAAAGATTCAGATGAAACTAGTTCAGAGATTTAATAGCAAGCAAGTCAGCAACTCATAAGCTCAACTGACTTTGCCAGAAACTCATCTGCATCGGCAGGGCTCAGAGCTCGAGTGACTTTGCTGAAAAGTCATTTGGAATGGCAGAAGTGAAAGTTCACCTGACTTTCCAAAATAACACTCACACCAGCAGGACTTGACATTTGCCTGACTTTGCCAGAAACTCACAAACAGGCAGGACTCAAAGCTCATCTGATCAGAATCTCATCTGCATCAGCAGAATTGGTTCTGCCAATGCAAATAAACTTTGACTCACCTGACTTTGCGGGGAACTCCACAGTGGGTCTTATCACCCTTAGGCCCCGGGCACTAGCCGTGTTTGTAAACTTGGAGTCCAGTGAGTCCTGGCCCTGGACGCTGGGCAGGTAGTAGGCGGCTGCCACGCCCAGCTCCTCCAGCTGCAGGATGGCACTGACCAGGCCCATCCGCAGCCACTCCCACGGCATGAGCTCTAGGTGGCCCGGTGGGCTGGGCCCGTCCTCCCGGATACCGATCTGGAAGTGGCCCGCCCACGCCTTGACCACCTCTGGATGCTGCTCCACAAAGTCCCCATAGAGGAACAGGGTGATTGGCAGGGCCAGCCGGTAGCCAACCAGCGTGGCCACCACCTTGTGGGCTCTCTTTAGGTTCATGCCCACGGCCACGATCACAGCCACCTGGTTGTCATGGCAATTTGAGTAGATCTGGCCAGCCGTGCCTGGAGTGTCGGCTGGTACCTTGAAGGCAAGAAAAAAAAGAATCAAGTACATGAGAGGTTTTCAGGGAAAAACACCAGTTCTCTTGTCAGATTTCTCTGAACAAAAAACATGGATCAGGATAAAATGTTACAACAAAATGTTACAAAGTGGCCTGCTCAAGGACACAAACATAGTCCTCTTGATTCATGGCTCAAAAGTGAAGCATTTTTAATTTGTTCCTTTAGCACTGTTCAATTCCACTTAACGGGAGACATTGGCGACGTTTGGCAGCAACAGACAAACCAGTCCTTTTCCAAAGTGAGCTCATTCTCAGACCTACAGTGCATGCCCAAAAATTCTCACGCATGGCAAGAAGGACTGGTTTGTCTGCCGCCACCTAGCATCTCAAGGTCTCACACCTGAACTTCTGAATTGCGCTGCCAACTGAGCCAAATTTATTTTCAATGACAAAGACACACGTGTACCAGTTCACTTATTACAAGTTGTTACAAGTTCATCTCAGAGCGCTGGTAACATTGAGCCATTCACTGCAGAAGCTGTGCGACATGCCATACATGTACCTTCACTGTGTGTATTCCCTCAAAGTCTGTGTACGTTCTCCGCTCCCCTATCCAGTCAATCATGGTGAAGCCTAAATTTTTGATGTCCTCCCTCAGCTTGCTCTTGTCGGCATGGCTCCAGCCTGTGGGCTGACTGTCATGATACTCCCCGTAGAACCTGCAGATGATAGCAACAGAAGAGATTGCTTGAGACAGAACTACGTCGTACAACTCAAGCAAAGCTGGGTACACAGTCGGTGTTCCTAGAAACTTCGGCCACAACTTGAAGACCTGAAAACTTGTAGGGGGATCTATTTTTTTCACCGTTGGGCAACATGATCCAGGACAACTTAATTAATACACTGTTAAACCTAACACCCTAGTGCTCAAATTTCAATATGATTTTACAAACACTCTAGGGAGTTTCGGTTAAAGACAACACAGCAATTCTACCGTAACAATTAGTGCAGCTAACGGAGAGAAACAAGTCGTCCCGTCAGACAAGTCATCTGTGCAGACAACTCAACACATTAGCTTTCTTACATTCTTAACAAAGTAGCACTTATTTTGTTGTCGATCTTGAGTCTTAAGTCTAGAGTCAAAAGTTGTGGATCTTGAGTCAGAATGTGGTTAATATTTTGTCTTCGGGACAGGTTTCACTACCATACCCATTCTGGCCAGGAAAGGTCTATGAATTGAAAGATTTTGGTTGTAAAACCTGTGAAGTCACTAGATCACAAAACTATTACAAAGATCACTTGACTTAAAGAATATATGCCTGTAAGATACACGTAGGTTTCTGCTCTTTTCATTTGAAAACTTAACAAACCTTACATAAAAGGGCCTGAGTTTTGAGTATTTGTCTCGTTATATTTCTGTGATTAAACTGGTGGTTGTGAAAATCTGCTTACTCTTGCATGTTTGTGCCCGCAACAATCTGCTATCCAAATTCAGACATTTCTTGAATCACTCAACCAGTGGTTATCCAGGGCTGATACGTGATCTTTACATGCACTGTATTAGATCTGACATTGTTACTTGTCAATTGTAACAAGGTTATTACAAAAGAATGAGCACACACCCTTGCATGTGTCGCATACCGGTACATGGGTAGTGGATATCTACTTTGTTCCTTGTGGTTAAGAAACTCGCACAAAAGGCTCCTTTTTCTCCAACGGAAATAACTCTTTTGAACTGATAATTTCCTGGACAATTCCTCTTCATTTTGCCACAGGAAACACTACTATTATTTCACTGGCCTAAACACCCTGCCTTACTTGTCTATGTATTTGAATGCACCGTGGTCCACCATGTTGCGAAGTATGTCGTATTCTGCGCCTTCCACGTCCAGCTTCAGGATGACGTAATCATCCACAGTGAAAGTGTCTTTGATCCACCTGGCCAGATCGATGGTCGGAATGAGCTTACGGTAGGACAGCTTCCGAATGCCGCCTATTCAAAGCACATTTCAAATTGGATGTAATGCGGAAGTTTGACAAAATTAAAAATAAATAAGGTAAAAACGAATAAATTTTTTTTTTAAATACAGAAAAGAAAAAAGGAGAAAAGAGGATGAAAATCATCAATAAACTTGCACCCCTTTCCATCGTTACTGGTTTATCAGGTTGCTGTTGAGCATTGTTAATGGACGGAGACAGGTTAAATTAGACATCAGTGAGTCTGGAATACGGGTATGCACATGTATCTGGCCTTGTTTGGGCAAGAATCTGATTTTGAATAATTATCTAAATTTGATGGTGGAACAGAAATCACGTTTTACATCTGAATTTAAAAATAATACGGTATTATACCTTGCGAAAAGCTCTCCCTTCAGTTTCTCGTAAAAAAAAAGGTGTAGCACATCTTAATTTCCCAACCTTTATATCTTTATAAATATAAAATATATTTGGGCCTGATCTCAAAATCAGACTTTCAAACCTTCAACTCATTTAACTTGACTGTACCAGTGCTATAAAAAAGTCTGGATTCAAGGTTCAGGACCCTCTACAGGTGTTCAATGATTACAGTAAAGAGGACAACCTTAGCTCTATGTACCAAAAGACAACACAAAATTCTGCACTGTCCATACTTTGCCGTTAAATGAGGAAATCTGGGTTCTGCACACGTGTGGGCAGCTGAAAAGGGAACCCTGAGGTACCGGTAGGATGGCACCATGAGAACCATGGCCCTGGAGATAATTCAAGATATACTTTGAGATGTATTGTAACTGAAGGCTCCTTGGGGTCAGCTGCACAGAACACAGATCCAGTGAATCTGTTCTGCAAGAGCTGCAGATGTCAAGGCTGTTACTTCAAAAGAGCAAAGAGCAAATTGACATATTCTGGCAACATCACCGGGAAAGGGCATCAATCCAGGGTAGGGTAGAGGAGGCAAACACTGGATGACATCTTAAGGCCTTTTCACACAACGAAAAATCTCTGGGTTGGACACAGCCCCCCCTTGTAAAACCTTTTCACACAGTACCATTTAAACACAGCATTGACCCATGTAGAGCGCTCAACCCATGTCGAAACCAACCGTGCTCGGGAAGTGGGTTGAGAGCTCTCGACCCGTGTTGCGACGTCCGACATGTGTTGAAAGCTGTAGTGTGAACGCAAGTGGGTTATTGTTCAACCCGTGTAAATATCGTGCGGGCGAACTCACATGCACACTGTTGTAATAGGATGCCAACGAACAAATGAATTTACCTTTCACCTGGGACATGCCCTGATTTCACATGCATTCTTCGTAATTGTACTGACGTCGATTTTGCTCTTACAAAAAAACATCCGAAATGTCAGATAAAGGCTCTCAATCTGAACAAAGGCCGACATGGAAAGAGGAGGAGGTGAAGGCTTTGTTGGCAATTTGGGATGACAGCTCCATCCAAAGCTACCTTGATGGCACGACAACAAACAGCAAGGTGTTTCTCAAAACAAGCGATTTGACCCATGTCGGACACGTGGGTGTGTCGTAAGTGTGAAACGATTGCTCAGTACACGGGTCCAAACATTACACGTGTAGCAAAAATGCCGACGCTGTGTTAAGCAATGTGAAAACGGAGGGGAATTGAACCGTGTTGAAATTTTAAGAAGTCTACACGAGTTGGAACCGTGTAGATTTCGACACGGATCAGTCATTCATAGTGTGAAAAGGCCTAGAGAATGGACGGGTCTGTCTAATGCCACATTTAAAACTGTGTTGTACTTTGTAACAGCCAATGCTGGAATGAGATCTTGAGAGCTTCACTGTGGGTCGTCAACCTTCTTCAATGAAGTTGACTACTGTTACTATGCATGAACAGCCTGTATGTGAATCTGTGCAATGCTGGTTTAAGATTTTCTATGTCAAAGCTTCCAAGCGCAGTTTTGTCATTTTCAAGTCCAAAATGCTATGGTTCAAAAAACCATCAAGCTGACTTAAAGTCATTTCAGCAAAGCCTTACCCGTTTTTGCATCTGCTTTTTCTCTGTTTGAGACAAAGAGCGAGCCGCCGCCCCACTGCATATCTTTTCCGTTGTTCAGTCCTTTGTCTGGTCCCCAGGCTGCCTCTGAATAAGCCGTCATATTCCCTGCCAAAAAAGTGCAAGTTACAGTAAGCTGTGAATCCAGGTACCAATTTAATGGACAAGGCCTCCAGGAAAAAAAAATGAGACCTACAAATTTCTTTTGAAAAATACTGATTCGCCAGCATTCTCCCCTTTCAAAAAAATGGAAACCTTTATGCATGTAAATTTTGCGCTTTTCTAAAACCTCCAATCCCAACAGTAAAGATCAACATTGTATTTATTATTTGGCTGTATGCACATGCATCTAAATGAACAGATGAACATGTACCTACATTGTAAATTTCTGGGCTTGCTGCATGCAGGGGAAATCAATTCTACATATGAGCAGATGCCAGACCATTTTCTGTACCTTACAAATTTTTTTCTGAATAAAAGTGGATTCAAATTAGGTCACACTGAGCAAAAGATACGCCAAGTGACATTTAGTGACAACCAACCCCGTTTTCCAGCAGTAGTACTGACAATGGGGCAATGTTAATGAAAATCGATGAAAACTACTGTACATGTACAAATGAAAAATGCTCGGGGAGAGTGAGGGAATTTTACATCCACAAATGCAGGCCAAAAGTTAAAGTCAGAAAATTTTGTCTGTCTTGCTTCTATCTCTTTACATTTGAAATGATATTACATGTAGTTGCAAGTTGCTCAAAGAGATAAAAACATCAGCCCTAACCATGAAATATATTTCACGATCTGTTAGGAAATTGAGGGATTTTGTAGGACTGGGTTATGTAGAGGCTAGCCATAATTACTGGTACTTTGCATGGGGCTTGATGCACCTTGAAAGTTCGAAGACTCATCCTTGCATTATTACCCACCAATAAATTTGGTAGAATTCCGGTGATAAATCCAGAAATTTTCCATGGGAAAATGTCTCACTAGTTAAAGCAGGATTCCAAAAGGCTCCAGGTCAACACGCATGAAATATTAGATGTGGGGAGGATTCTGGAAAATTTCCAGGTCAAAATACCTGAGAGGTGTGGAGGATTATCAATATTCAGAGTGGAAATGCCCAAAGAGCTGAGGGTTCTGATTGGTTTGGGATGAAAATACTGGTAAAAAGAGAAACATGTCTGGCGTTTTGACACTGTTGTTCTTTTCCTCTTCCTCATTGGTAGATATTTCTTTTTTATTTCTTTTGTAAGCGGCACAGGTGTTGCATCCTTTTCAAAACTGTATCAGGAAAATGTTTGTTTTATGGCAATGATCTTGTGCTAAGTAAACACAAACAGTACATGGGTAATGGTCGCACAATTTTTTCACCAGGAAATCAATGGGATTTCAAACTGGAAAGCAAAAACCGAATGAAGAGCATTTCAGATCCAGATTTTTCACACTTTGCTTCAGTTTTATTTTGTTGTTCAATGTTGTTTCTGAGGTCAACTACTGGTACATGTACATGTATACATTTGAGTTGAATTATCAGAATGTTGACAGCTCAGGAATTGTCACAACCACACACCATCTTTGCCAGCCACGCCCACGGGGCAGTGCAAGTGATGATTCCTGTAGGGTTTGAAGTAGGGGGCCAGCCGGTCATCAATCTCAAAGGAGTGGATGGTGTACTCATGGCCCTTGGGGTATGTCTCCCGAAACAGCTGCACTGTCGACGCCACATTGGCTCCGCAATCCAGGAGGATCTTCCGAGGCTCGGCGGGATTGCCAACATCACTAGATCTGCAGGGAAACCGGAAGGGGGGGATTAAATTTAATGACTCCAACATATTCGTTTGGATCATGCTGTAAATTGGGGGTCCATTTTTTGCCTCCCTATTACATCAGATCTATGATTTTGCAAGTGTACAGTACATTCTTTAATTTCCAAGAGTACGTGTAATTGACAGAAAGTAGCTGTCAAACCCTCAAAATAGTTTGAAGTCAATTTCAATGATATTGCAGGTCAAACTGTACCTGTCAGCTTTAACTAGGACACCACAAAATGCCACAATTTTTGGAAGAGAATAAGTCTTTTGAATGTGCAGCCTGACAGTGAGTAAATTAAAACAACTCTCCTCAAATACTAGTGGTTTTATATGATGTCACTACATGTACATACAGTAACAACCTGACTGGCATTAAGGGACACCTTGAGTACATGTACATGTATGTAAATCAAGGGAAAGGCAAATGTGCATGTAAATGTACACGTTCATATATTCATTATAATTATAATAAAATAATTAAAATCTCAAAAGGCTTCACAAAAATATTAAACCACGTCGAAAAGTATTTCTACTGTCTATGGCATCATTTCCACATACATGTACATGTACATGTAGAAAACGTTGAAAACCATTGTGACAAACTGGACGGTTGAGTTCGTTCTCCATGCACATGTAAGCACTAAATTTCCGAATAAATTTACTGATCCCTTTTCAGACACTGTCAGAGTGCAAATCACACTTTTTTTCATCAGAGCTTCTGCCTTACCGGTCATACATGTACAGTATTTTTCAATGCACATCACCTACCACAATGTCTTAAAGATTACTTTAGATGAGGGGTCCATGTGTACGTATGCACAAAAACAGACAGACAAAAAAGCAAAACAATGAATAATAGAAAGAGGAACACAAGTTAAACTATGAGTATGTTGAAGACAGATATTCAACACACTTTGTCTGGCAATGGGCTGGTTACAGACATCTAATAAACAGGTGAAACAAAACCAAAACAAACAAGTTAAGTGACAAGAAATCTACACCCACTTTAACCCTAACTCCCCAGAGTAATTGACTAGGAACCATACCCATTCACACAAATTCCAACACCATATGGTGAACCGTGCACAGAAGCTGTTGGACTCTGTTTATTTTGGGTATGCCTGAACCCATGTTAAAGCACAAGCAGTTTAGGGGTACAGTACCCAATGCCACAAATTCACACACTTTACTGGTGTTCAATTCTGTGTGGTTAGGGAAGGTTAAGGGTTAATATACATGTTCATCTGTGGCTGCAGAATCCAGCCATTGACAATGTGCATGGTTCGTAATGCCCTCTATGTCTCCAGTTTGGTGATACTGAATTGTAAGAAATCATTCAGTTTACAACAAGGCTCAGAAGGCAAGGCCTCACCTTGTATACACACGTACGAGACTGTCCTCCAAATCCGGTATTCTTTTGTTTCAAAGTTCCACTGGTACAAGTACATGAATGGTACGAGTATTTTGGTCACAAGTTTTATTCATTCGGAATTTCATTTTCAATACCCCCCAAAAGTAGACAACTTCTACATGTATTACTTTTATTAAAAGCAATAATGCTACCGGTAGGTCTAGCCAAATAAAGTGGATTTTCTTTATTGAGATAAAGAATGAACTAGTTTACCAAAAGACCTTTCTAAAAAGCAACAGGTCACACGATCTTCATGTACATTGTACGTGTATAATCAGAATTTCAAAACAAGACAGTTTAACCGCTAGTAGTTTCTATTTCTATCATTGGCAGTAACATCAAATGACAACTGAAAGGTTTTTAATTTTGTTGAGCTGTAAACTAAACTAGAACACTTCTTCCACAGTATGTTACTGTGTGATCTTCTGGAACTCTGCAGAGGGGAGGCCTCCAGGACAAACTTCAGAGCAGACTTACACATTAGAACATGTACAGAATGTACCGGTATCAGTGCTTCAAACAGACAGCAACTCGAGTATAGCTTAATTAATGGTGGGAATTCACTGAAAGTGAAAGATGGCTATTATAGGCATAAACAAAATCAGCCAAGCACATCTGCTTGTGGTACTTGACAAGGCTTGATGTACCAGTAGGTATACGTTTATCGAGTACGCATAATGTAAAAATCATAAATAATGTACAGGGTGTACAAGTACCATGTACATGCAATGTTCATGTCTGCCCTACATGTATAAGAAATGCCCTAGTCGGTGTCTCACAGTACACGTTTTTTATATCTCCTAATGGAACACATTTTCAGATTTGGGTTTATCTATTCCTTTGGATGTGGTTTGTCTTCTCTGTAGGGCAGTATTATTTTACTATTCAAGTAACGTTTGACACCGGCAATATACATGTACATGTACCACATTTCAACAGCCAGACACTATAAAGACTCAACCTTCCACCTGTGAGACAAAAAGTTGAAGTGGGAAGTAGCTGGGAAGGCACAGAAGGTTTATGCCAAAACAAGATCAAGGGGAGTCGCAGCAAGTTTCTGCAAGGGCATGGCAGGAAAATGTCCAGTGGAAAAACAGTTTTACATTTATACAAAGAACTCTGCCATGAGTGATACTTTACAAAACGTTAATAAAGTGAGGATTAATCAAGCCCTAGTCATTACTCTAAGAGGGCTGGATCACAAACTTACCTACATGTACATATAACAGAGTAACTAACAACATCAAATAGAAGTCAGAATTACTGTAACGATTTTGCTTTGAACAAACAATAGAACCTGGTAAAACATCAGTTTTTTGCAGGTAACATGAACAACCAGTACTTTTCTTGTGGTCCTTTTAGCTCCTGGTTGATAGCAAAATCCCATGAACTCTAGTTCTGGCAAAACTGAAAGCCTGTTTCAAAACCTGGAACTTCACCCATGACATCTCAGAAGGAACTGTTTGCTGGTTTACAAGTGCATAGGGGTGCTACATGTGAATGTATTGCTGTAGGGCTTTACACCGCGTTAAAACACATGACTGAATTTGCTTGACTCTGGGATAGAAACAAGCAAAACGTATGCACTTTTTGTCAACCTGCATCCAATTTTTAAAAAAGAAAATTTCACATCTAATTTAAACCAAAAAATCTGATTTGTATCTTAAACCTCATTTTGAAATGCCAGCCCTAACAGGCGCATATTTTCTTGCCAGGCTAATATATCACACATAGCACATCACTAATCTATTGGCAAGGTCACTGACTTTGATGTTCAATTGAAATACAAGTGGAGCTATGTGCTGAATACACATTCGGGAGCACATTTAAAATGAACAGAAATACTAGGGTCATATTCTGTGACACATGTACCAGTCCATCCTGTCTCTACACTCCAAACTCTTACAAATATATGCAGAACACCAGGGTTAGAGAAATGAAATACACTCTGTCTCTTCCTAGCCATGGTTAAACACTGCTTGCTCCGCTCCCAGGAAAATTTTTGTAAACTGACACCCTGTGGTTCTATGTGAGGGAATATTCCCACTGCAGCCAGTACTAAGAAGGAGATATGAGGACTTGTTCGCCATTGTAAAAAGATTTATGTCAAAAGTGGGGGCTTGTAAATGTTGAACAAGCAACAAGTGCCTGTCCAAATTTGTCTTGGTCCCTCCTCAGGACTAGAAACCAGGATGAGCAGTTGTGCAAATAGGGTTAGCCATCCATTTAAAAAGCCAGGTGTTCAATTACCACTGCCAAATCCTCCACAAGTTCTTGTGTGCAGAGGATGCTGGGTCAACTCAGGTCAAGCATGTACCAGTACATTGGGCTTGTACACATTTAAGACTTGAAGCTCTACATGGTGGTGGTATGAACTACATGTAAATGTACCACATGTCGTCGTTTGCCAGGGAAAAGGGCGTCCTTAACACATTCTCTTTATTTACATGTAGTAAAAATGGATAAAATTTGCTACAACACCAACACAGGCTGTACAAAAAGCAACCTTTAAACAACTTATTAAACAACTGGGGATTTTTAAAAAAATTTTGCAAAGAAATCTTTATATTTCATTCAAGTAAAACAGTTGGAAACATGTACATACGTCCTTTTGCTGGGAAAGGTTTGTTGCATTGATCACGTTTCCTGGCAAAAGGTCGTAAGTGCTTAAGTCCTTTAGCCAGGCACAGGATCATATGATGATGGTAAGCCATGTGATCTCTTTAGGAAAGATGTGTGGGTGTACATACATGCACCAGTACATGTACATGTATAATTCATTACTTCTGTTCCAGGTAAACTTAAGTCTGTTCCCCAGCAAGGAGTTAAATGCTCTGCTGCTCTTCACTGCGCACTCTTCATATGCTCCCTGGTGGTACCAGTTTTCAAACCTTAGGAACCCTTTGCATATTAATGGCCAGAGAAAAACTGAAACATTTCACTGGACTTCATACTTCGCATAGGAGTGTTACATGTATGTACATGTAATCAAGGTAAGGGTTTAAAAGGATCTCATCAAAAAAAAAGACCAACAAAACAATGACGAAGACAAACAAAACAGGCAAACAAAGGGATAAACCAAAATCCAAATGACAACAAGCTGAAATCAAACCAGAACAAACTTAACCCAGCAACACAACTCAATGTAATGCAAAGCTGCACAACGCAATCTCAAACAAACCCAAGCAAAGTGTACTAGGGCAACCAGTAAGATACAGCACAGTAAAAACAAGGCAAAAACAAACTAACACCAAGGAGTATATGGCAGAGCTTACATGTCTTTGTTGAGAGATTGTACTCGCGATGCGGCCTGCACATTCTCCCGGCCGTACAGGGAGGCCACTTCGTTGGAGCCACGGTAAACCTGCCTAACGACGGACTCGTTGCTGCTGTTGCTGTTTGCTCTCATGTAGCTGACGAGGGACGGCATGAGCCCGATGCAGACGCCCATAAGCAAGGCAAACCACACCCTGCGCATACCTGCACTCATAGCAATCTGAGGGAAGATAAGTTTGGTTGGCAGGGGATCAAAGCTGTGGAAAGCTCAGTCAATCGCATTGCCATTATTATTTTTGAGAGGAGAGGGAGCCTCTCTTTTTTCCCCTTACTGCAATGTGCGGCTACTGTGATCCCAGACTTGGCATCGGGTGAAAGCAGCTCGAATTGATGCAGGTTAATGCTGCTCTGTGCAACTATGAAGAAAAGGTCCATGTTAGATGGACGAAGGAACGAAGCAGCTGCAATAACCGAGAGTGCTGGGGTAATTGTACATCAAGGGCAAACTATTAGCCAACAAGCATCTACACAAATCCGCACATGATGTACAAAGAGGAATTACCAGTACCACTGGCAATATGCATGCCCTGCTTAGGTCGACATTTAAGGACAGGTGAACAGGATTTGTCAATTTGTAGAATCAATCGTCATTTCTCACCAGAGCATGTGGGGAATGGAACAATTCTATTGTTATTTCAAGTATCAAGGGTATACTGTATCAAAGAAAGAGTCACAAAATGGATACATCCCTAAGCCACCTATGGTGCTGTTTTGGTGTCCAGTTGGTGCCTTTTAGTGCAGGCATTTTGAAGAAATTGGTGCGTCCCAAAAATACACCAGAAGTCTGTTATTGGTGCACTTTTGATGTAGCCAAGGTAAACACATACATGTACATGTATGTCTGCTGGACAAAGGGATTAGAATTGACCTCAACACTTGTACATTCAACCAATGACCACTCCCTCTTGCAACATTTCTGATGAATCTGATACCAACTACATGTACATCAAAATCACAAACCAGATCTACCAGCCCCCCTCCCCAAAAAACGAAAACTGTAAAATTTGGTAGAGGTTTGGTTACTGGAAGTCCAAAACATTGTGCCTACCTGACTGCCCAACTACCCCATCTTTTTGTCAAGCATAACAACAAAGACTGAACAGAATTGCAGATACATGTACATGGTTTTATAGGGACACTTCAGTGAGCTGGAAAGATCTTTGAGGGTAATTAGCAGGTTCATTGTGACAACGTGATGGACATTTACGGTACATGTACCTGTACAAGGTCAGCTTTTTTTATTAGAAATGAACAGGACATGCAGAGCTGCAATTTTCAAGTGCACCGTGACTGTAAAAATGAAGGTCGGGCCGAGCTCATAAATAACTTTGTTTCCTATTTCAGTGGAATTAGGGCACTCGTGTGGGTTATTTGTTTTTTTATTTCGTATATTGAGCGATTAAAGATTTAGAGGTCATTGTGGACCATTCATGTACAACACTTCAGAGCATTTCAACGTTTCTGAGCCACCCAGTCTGACAATAAAATATCCCCCACCCAAAAAAAACAATAGATGTTCAAAAAAATTAAGGTTCTGGTAGGAACAATTTACATGTACCAGTACACGTACACTGTATAAGTTTTTATTTTTCCATTTTTGGGGGGGAAAAACACACTTGAATAGGCCTACATTTACATTTGCATATTCAGGTTCCCAAGGACAGTTAATTTAGACTCCCAGAGCCAACCATACCGCAGCAAATCACCTGAAACACTGATCTAGAATAAGATGTACAACATGCAAACAGTCTAAATTACCGGTATGCTGACATCCATTCCACAAAAGTCATTTCCACACTGTGGCCCTTAAATGAAATGACAAAAGACCAAGTACCAAACCAAAAGCAAAACGCACATACCGGTACCCTGACTGCAGGAAGTAGTTATACAATGCATTTCCTGACAATTTCATCCAGAGTACTGTACTGTAAAATGCTCAAGTGGCTATTTCCTCCAAAACATAAGTACATGTACACAATTTCAAATTCCCCCCCCCCGTCCGTCCGTGTGTGTTCCTGCAATTGATGCACAGTCCCTTACAACCAAATAATACTCAAATATCAAATTCTTTACACATTCCTGTGACTAATGAGTTACAAGTTTTCTGGTTTATATGTCCCTGTGAACACATGCATTTTTTATAACCTTTGCAGACATTTTATTACTGATTTCAACCTCCTATAAAACTTTTGCTATCCAGTACAATGTACATGTATGATTGAATCATTTTGGCTATACAATCATTGTTCTGATGGCCCAGCATGCAAAACACATTTTTAGTTTACTTCTAACAAGTTTGTTCCAAAGTTTAAGTACAGGAAGAATTTTTCCTCAAGAAACTACTCTATGGTAAACTATTATGTAGAACTATAAGAATTATGTGTTGTGTCTATGCAGTCTATTTGAAAGTACAGGTACATGAAGGCAGAACCATGGAGGAATACAGATTGACAACAAACCACAGCGCTGTGAGATTTTTAGTGTACTTGTCCTACATGTATATTTAACAGTTTTACAATACCTTTTAAATGCAAGTTTGACAGAGAATGGATACAAGAAAAGACACAGCGTATAGTCACAATCCCATTTTTATTATTCCTATTATTTTCCATGTACCTACATGTATACATCAAAACAAAGGCAATTATAACCACCTGCCAACCTTGATCAATGCAAACACCACACAAATTTAAAGCCCTCACAACTATCCAGGGTTATCTGTGGCACCTGTTTCCTTTCTCTGTGATTTATATTTAACTTGTACCCCTTCCATGTATCCACAGTTATGTCTGTACCCCCAGTAGGTGAGTGAGCATCACACACATACTCTATTTTGCTGACCTTGAAAAATGCAACCATGCCCCCTGGTGCACAAATTTAATGCCCTCACAACTAGTACATTATCTGTGGCATCTCTTTCCTTTCTCTATGTTTAAAGGTACATTTAAAGGTAAATTTAACTTGTACCCCTTCAATAGCTACATGTACATGTACAACATATATACACTGTACCTGTAGCATCTTTGTGCATTTGCCTTAGCAGGTGAGTTGTAACACTCTATATACCGGGTAGTATAATTACTCCATAAACTGATCCATGTACATGTACATACATGTATGTACATGTACATACATGTATGTACCGGTACATATTTCCGAGACGACAGAGGTGGCCTTGCTAGTTGTTATATGTACATTGTACATGTACATATACCTTCCTCTACATGTACCAGGAAACTGCCAGTATTGCCCCACACGAACCTGGCATGACTCCAGTCAGTCTCCTGTTACCATTTGAGCTGAGGTGTCAAAAACTTGATATAACGGTATGAAATCACAGCCAACCCAAAACCATTATTTCCCAGCCTATTCAACAGGCTCTAGTTCCCATAAAAAAACTGGGGGGGAGGGGGGATGAGGCTTTTAAATTCATATATCATGAGAATCTAGACACCTGAATGTAGGTCATTCTATAAATCAGAGGTCCGACTTTTCTTGTGATCCTGTCACAGCTGATATGCATGGATGATTTGGTAAATTCAAAACACATTTTCTAATTTTCAAGAATGATGAATTGATGCAAATTATCTGCCAATCAAATGAAAATACATGTAGTTTGAAATCAATTTCAGAGATATTTCCATTTATACTGTTCATTTATAGAATGACAAATATGCATAAACTCTTTGAATATCATTCAGAATCTTAGTTTGTACTGGCAAAGCTGAACTGCATGCCCAAAACACAGAAATAAACTTTGTCATTATAAATGTACAATGTACTATCAATTATCAACACAATATACATGCTCGCACCAGTCTCAATCTGCAGGTACAATGATGTGCACACAATGTGGTGAGCTGACAATAAGCCTTTTGTGAGTTAAATTTGAATAAAAACAGGTACACTGATATCTGACTGCACATAAACATAACAAGTTGAATTCCCCAGACTAAAGACACTGTTGCTATACATGTACCTCGTGATTTGCATAGTGACCACCATCTCTGGAATGGACTGTTCCTTTGTGCCCTTCTGATCCAAGAGTGTATTGGTGGAAGGCATCTCTCATGTACATGTCACTAAGGAAACGCTTGCCCCAAATCGCAAGGGACCGGTATAGCCACAGTGTCTTTTATGGAGAATTCAAATTGTTATGTTCACGCGAATTTAAACAACACAGTGTACCAGATTTGTATCCAAATGTTACTAACACATGGCTTACATGTATTAAGCTTATTCATGGGCAAGTTGATTGGAGAATGAACTGGTGCTCCACTTGTCACCAGACATACGTGTATTTGTAAAAAAAGGCTGGGACAGAATTTATCAACAACTGCTCAACCAACGCAGACTTTGAAGTGAGATATACATGTAGAGTATGCTATATGTATGTATAAGGCCATTAGTAGGGTGAGAAAGAATTTTAAGATTATTTTCAAAGGTATTGTTTGTCTCCATGAACTGTATACAAGTATACATTCATGTATACGTGTTCAGTTCACTTGATTTGTTATATTTCAGACCACTGCTTTATTAATTTTGCCAACATCTGTTTGAGGCTGCAGTCTGACGCTAGAACAACAAAGCAGAAAACACAGAATATAAATATTTTCTGGTCACATTGATTAATACCGGTAGCATGTTTTGTTCACTAACAATAAAAAACTAACAAAGAGAAAACAATGGGAAAGGTTGCTTTATTACAAGAGAGCTGTTTTGCAATAGTGTATGAAATGTCTAGTGTTTAAAGGAAACAAGAATTCTCCAAGTGAATTTGACAGAGTGCGCTGTGCAGGTGGGTAGAGTTTTAAAAAAAATACATTTACATCCGTACCAAAAGATCTGGTGAAAAAACAATAAAGATGGGCACATATCAGGACAATCACACTTTTGCATTTCCTGTCACCATAAAGTTGTGTGTTCAAGTATTTTACAACGTACATGTACTTGTAGATAACAGTCCTAAATCATCTGATTTTAATATGATTTTATTTACATGTGCATGTACACCCTAGGGGTTGAGGGTTAATCATAGATTATACAAAATATACAATATATTCCACCATGAGCCACCTGCACATTTTTTATACAACCAGTATTGAACGATGATATGTATGTATTACCAAACTCACCTTTCATGGCCAAGTGCTTTAAACAGGTGTCGGCCACATCAAAATATGACAGGACACTATGTTTGAATTTGAGGAGGATGGTCCATTCAGTGGGTCTTTTTCCCAACCCACAAAAGTTCTAATACCAGTCTGGATCCTTTCACCATGTTTATTGATTGTTTCAAACCAGATCCCACGTTAAACTGCAGGATCTGTCACTTCTCTTTTGTGATCCATGGCTCTGGAGGACACATGAGAAAAATCCCCCCAGGTGTGCTAGGTCTGAATTCCACTTCAAGAATAGTAATTCACAATGTTTGGAATTGGATGGTATTCTATTTTTGCCCAATTTCCATCCAAAGTACAAGTAGGTCCATTTAAGGTCCAAAATTGCCTGCCCGGACCAAATCACGATTTGTAGGCTGTCAAATTCTCTGCTATTAGAGCATTTCGTGGCATGTCAGCATGTGGACTGGGTGGTTTGTTAAGGATGATGGAATCTAGTAGTAGAGATAGGACTGCCAACTTGCAGCGGTATTTCTGAAAGTATCAGACCAAACAGGGCCCTCCAAATCGTTATATTTTGCAATGGATTGTCAGTCTAGGCATCAATTTTCAAAAATGTGATAGGCCTCATGACTGGTTTGAGGGGGGATTTTTTCTGGAGAGCAATATGCACGTGTACATGTAGGTCTTTAAACATGCCAAAAGTCATAAGTTAATGCCATGGTTAGGCCATTCTACATGTACATGTACCTCCATGGTTAGGCTTACATTGTAAGCCACTTAAAATTGAAAGGAAAATGAAAGATGAGGAAGTGAGCTTTAATTGATAGGTGTCTTGAATACTTGAAACTTGTATTTTTCCTTGTTTTTTTAAAGTAGGGATATTTATCATTGTTACAACACGTACAGTAGTACAACTTGCAAATACAAGCGTACTGCGTTGCCGCCCGTAAACAGACCCCCTTGTTCATGTTGTTTCAGAAGTCCTGGGTCTTTTATTTTCTTACAATGTCTTACCTGTTTCGTGCAACAGAAGAACGACGGGTGTTGTCTCGTCTGTTTTCTTGTAATAACAAAGCAAAGCCCTGAATAAACCTGCAGGTATAGGTGCAAGGAACAACAAGAAGTCGAACAACCTTTTCTTGAGTGTACATCTACATGTGGCTCTCCATGACCTGCTGTGGCCGGCCCAGTACAGTACAGTCAAAAGAACATAACGTGCATGATGCATGCACATCATACGGATCATAACAGTCCGCAGGTAAACCGGTGCTTTCTGGCCGGCCAGTGATGATCCGAGCAGTTGCGTGCACTTTTATCGATACTACCCGCCTGGACGTAGCTTTCAGAGTCGATGCAGCACGGTTATGTCCCGGTTTTTTTCCAACCATAATTGTGTTCCAAACTATGTTTCACAAACAAGAAATTTTGATGTGTGGGTTTTGTTTGGGTTTTTTTGCAAAAATTACCAAGGTTTTTTTAATTTTTTTTAAAAAGAAGTACTGCCATTGTCGCATCATTGATGTACCGTCATTAACTGAATTGAAAAGGTCACCAACCACATTCTATACAATATAGGCCTTCATCGTTGCCTCAGATGAATCTGTTTTTTCCAAAACGGGGTAGTCCAAGTCGTAGAAGGACACTTAGTCTGCCATAAGTGCCAACCTAACCTATACCAACAACAACAAGCAGTACAGCCCTGCGAAATTTCAGATTGAGTAAGTGGACATTGCAAAAAGGTCAATATTTGGGGAAAAATAGATCTATTTTGGATTCCAATATTTTATAAATATGCCTGTTTTTGAATATGATTCCACTGGCGTTCGATACTCTTGTATGTCGAACCGAATATCTTCAGACAAACGACGCAGAGAGCGCTTGAGGTGGACACTGGACAAATGCACTCCTAAGAGGGCGCAATTATGTCCACTACAAGTGGAAAAAGGTCAGCTGCCTGCCAAAAACAATTCATCGTGCAGTACATTTTTAGCTAATTCGTTTAGCTGCTGCGACTCTTGAAAATCCGGTTGTGTTTTCAAAACCTTATTGTCAATGTATTTTTGCTTATGTTAAAAGTTATCATTTTTTGGGTGCCTTTTGGGTTTTATTTTAATGCACATTTCCTTATTCTTGGCCAAAGTTGTGATCTCATAACAGGGAAAAAATAAAACTTTGAACGTCAGCTTGAATCATGCACAAAACAGCTGGAACTGTTGTTATTTTTACTGTCCCAGTTTTTTTTCGGAGGATTTATTGTTGAGTAGGTAGATGGCAACACATCTGTGAGCTTGCCTTTTTCAGAATTGCTTTCATTAATTTAAGCAAATGTTAGGCTCATAAAAAGCTGAACAGTGTTCTCCCCGAATAACGCTGTACATCGCCCCCCTTTTGCCTGGAGAAACACGGACATCTTTTCTACTATTAAAAAATAACGTGCACTTTCCAGGACATTCATCTCGAAAAAGAATGCAACATAGTTTGCGAACATTATGAAGCGTGTCAAGTTGCACAACAGGTGCATCCTGGGTAGAAACATTAAGTTGGGCCTCTAGCTTCACCGATACTGAGGAGATCAAGCAATATCAGAGAAGCTGGAACAAAGCTGCGAGGTTTCAGGCCCTTCTGTGACCGTTTTATTTCTGGCATCGATCTAGGATTATCTCAGAGGCAAAATAACATTGTCACGTGTTCGGACCTAGCCCTCAAAACTTGCGCCTTCCGTCCGCTCCCAGCCTACGTATTGTGGAAGCTTTGCAACGCTTGGCGGGAACTAGACCGCCAAGTGTTGGCACGTTCAGCCGTAAACGAGTTGAATGGGGCCGTTATCACCAAGTCCTTTATAATGAACTGGAGGGGGCCGCTCTCGCGTGCATTGTCTGCTGCTTGATTACACTGCAAACTTCAACCTGTACCTGTAGCACAATCACTGAACAAGCCGTTGTATCGTATGAATTTTTTGGTTTGCTTTGATGGTAATGTGGGGGATGGGTTGTAACGAAATCCGGGGGAGATGAGGGTATCCCCAACTTTTTAGCCCGGGGGTGGGCTATTATATAATCCCAAGCAGCGTGAGGCTACCACACACGTCCGCCCAGGAATATCGAGTAAAAAAAAAGTGTCCCGAAACTGACTAAAGGGGCGGGAACTAATGGAGGCCTTTGAAAAGCGTCTTGCACAGTGCAAATAATCATAAAGGAATCCTCAGCATTTTTTACCTACATAATGCCATTTTATTACACTCTGTAACAACAGCAGACCGGCGTCATCCTCTCCGAGGGTTGGAAATTAAATTAATTTATATCACAGTTTTTTGCAGTGTACCGGAATGCCAAATTGATTAATGGCCACAATTTGTGCTTTCTAACGCAAACTATAAACCAAATTACTGGGACAAAATAATGGCCCTAAAATTCATTTTGTGAGAGATCTGCTAATATAGAGGGCGTCACTCAATGTTACAAGGGGGGTCACAAAAGTCTAAAAGCAGAGTGTAAAGGAGGAATCCACGCTCTCCCACCCAAAATACGATTCAATGCACCGGCAAAACGATTCTCTCAATTAGACACCATTTGACACCATCCAATTCTGTCATTATATTCAGCGCAAACTTAAACAGAGTACCTTTTCTCATGTGGAAAAAGAGGTTTATAGCCGTCTTGTTCATCCAGAAGAATGACTATATTGATTTAATGAACAGATAGTACCTTGATGAAAGGCTAAGAGGCATAAGTTAAGGAAGCGTAGGAGGGCGAAAACCAAAATGGAACTTTAAGTTCTATCCCATTATTACCTCCGTGCAAAAGATAGAAATTTTAAAAATGATTGGTTTTGACGACAGATAAACGCATAGACCATCAGCTCCTATTCAAATCCACAGGAGAAGCCTACATTAGTTCGATTTGCTGAGCTGTCCCAGAGACATAAAGGAAAAAATCATGAATGGCGAATTTGGCTGCAAATAGTGGCAAGGTGTCTAACTTGACAAAGTGACAAGGTATTCGTAACGGAAAGGCGCCCTCTGGCTTGACCAATAATCTACACCAGAAATATGAAATAGCGCCCTCTCTCTGGCTTTACAGACAACATACTTCTGGTTCGATTTCGAGCGGCGTGTCTTGACACGGGTTTCTTGTTCTCGCGCTCGAACGGC